GCCAGCAGTGTGCCCAGGTGGCCAAGAAGGCCAATGGCATCCTGGCCTGTATCAGGAATAGTGTGGCCAGCAGGAGTACGGAAGTGATCGTGCCCCTGTACTCTGCACTGGTGAGGCCGCACCTTGAATACTGTGTTCAGTTTTGGGCCCCTCACTGCAAGAAGGACGTGGAGGCGCTGAGTGGGTCCAGAGAAGGGCAACAAAGCTGGTGAAGGGTCTGGAGCACAAGTCTGATGAGGAGCAGCTGAGGGAACTGGGGTTGTTTAGCCTGGAGAAGAGGAGGCTGAGGGGAGACCTTCTTGCTCTCTACAACTGCCTGACAGGAGAGTGCAGCAGCCAGGTAGTTGTTGGTCTCTTCTGCCAAGTAACAAGGGATAGGATAAGAGGAAATGGCCTCAAGTTGTGCCAGGGCAGGTTTAGGTTAAACATTAAGAAGAAATTCTTCACAGAAAGGGTTGTTCCATTGTTGGAACAGGCTGTCTAGGGAAGTGGTTGAGTCTCCATCCCTGGAGGTATTTAAAAGACGGGTAGACGAGGGGCCTAGGGACATGGTTTAGTGGTGGAATGGCAGTGTTAGGTTTATGGTTGGACTTGATGATCTTAAAGGTCTTTTCCAACCTAAATGATTCTATGATTCTGTGACTCACTGCAAGCGCCGTTGGCATGTGAAGAGTTCACGTCAGCTTCAGGGGAGGCTGGGCAGGTCCTTGGAAGAGAAAGTAATTGAAGGCTACAAAAGTAGCAGACTATGTCAGGCTCAGGAAAAGTCCCAAGCTGCAAATAGCTGGAGGCTTGGATAGACGTGCCTGCCCTGCTTTTAGTTTTCGCTGGGTGTTCCCTTATAGCTGGGACTGGAAGTAGAAATAGATGTATCCCTGCTCCAGCTAACAGTGCAGCTACTCTAGTCTGCATGTATAGGTTTGCTAGTGTAGCAGAGATGCCTCTCTACTGGGGCTTCTCTTTCTTTTGTAAAAACACAGAAAGATTAGGCTTGCCAATAGGTTCATGTAAGAAAAACTGTGTTTCTATACAGAATCCCAGTGAAAATTCTCTGTGGGCTTAAAGTGGTGTACTTATGTGGTCTCAGTTGAAGAATTGCATCCTGGCAGCGATTGCCTGCGTGAAAGGAATATTTAAGGTGGTGGTGTGGTTTAACTCCAGTAGGTGGCTCAGCCCCATGCAGCCCCCTGCTCGCACCCCACCCCCCCCCGCCCCACAGCAGAACAGAGGGGAGAGTTGGAAGGGTAAAAGTGAGAAAACTTGTGGGATGAAATAAAGTTAAGGAAAAATAAGGAATTCACTCACTAGTTCTCTTTGACAGGCAGGTGTTTAGCCATTTCCAGGAAAGCAGGGCTTCATCACTCACAACGGTTACTTGGGAAGAAAACCACCTTAACTCCAAACATCCCTCCATTCCTCCTTCTCCCAGTTTTTATTGCTGAGCATGACATCATATGGTCTGGGACATCCCTTTGGTCAGCTGGGGTCACCTGTCCCAGCTGTGTCCCCTCCCAAATTTTTGTGCACCCCCAGCCTACTTGCTGGCAGGGCAGCGTGAGAAGCAGAAAAGGCCTTGATGCTGTTAAAGCACTTGTTCAGCAATAGCTAAAACATCCCTGTTGTGATGACAAATCTAAAACGCAGCATCCTATGAGCTACTATGAAGAAAATTAACTATCCCAGCCAAAACCAGTACAGGTGGCTTCAGTGAAGCATTAGGAAAAAACACCAATAGTTTATTTTGGGGTTTGTAGCTTATTTTCATGTTACTTACATTTCAGTACTGTTCTGTCTAGACTTTCTGTTTTTCCATAAGCCAGGTGTGCTGCCTTTGCAAGCCAGTAGCTGCAACAGCTTGACGAACAAACCACTGTTGCATGTACAGATACAATAGGAAGTCCTTGGGTTCTGTGAACACATGGAAACAATGGAAATAATTTGATCTGTCTAGAATTTATTACAAACTTCATTATACAGTAACTATGTTTCCTGCTGCATTTTATCACTCTAGATTTTATGAGACATGGTTTCTTCCCTAGAATAGCCTCTTGTGGTAATTGAGGTAGTCAAGTAGTTTGCATATGAGAGTCATTAGGTTCTCGTACTACTTTTGTCATCATCAGATATTAATCTTCTCATTCTGTGTAAAATTAAAAGTCTTGCTACAGCAAGAGACTATTTATATTATTTTCCCTAACCGTTAAATACACTTCCATTAAAACATTACTCTATGATGTTTGAAATAAGGTGCTGATTTTTCCTTTACAGAACAAACAAGCAACAGCCAGACACCAGGTGGTGCCAAAGACCAGGCAGAAAAGAAAGTGAAACTTGAGTGCAAGGAGTGTTCAGAAAGAGCAAGACGCAAAGAACAACTGCAAGATATTCAGTTTCTGATTTCAGTAAATTAGGAACCATGTACAGTAACATCAGCAGTATGGCAAAATTAGGAGTGAAACCATTTGCAGAGGAGAAGAATAGTACAAAAATATATCATGGATGAACAATAACCTCTGTTCTCGTCATCTAGCTTTAAGATTCTGATACGCTTTTAAAACAAACTAACAGCTGCAGAGCAAAAAGACCGTGTAAAGATGTATAAGTAAACTGGAAGGATATGTATATCTGTTTTTATTTAGCAATGCACAAGACAAATAAAATATTTGAAGTTTTAAATATAAGGTAGGGAGTTAAAATGAAGCATACAGCCAAAATTAGCTTAGCCAGGCATCATCCATAGTTTAGCCTTTTGGTGGTCCTGGGGCTGGCTGAGCGGAGTTGAGGAAGTCCCTCTGGCACACCAGCGTAATGTGAGTAGCCATTCTGCAGAGCACCTTCCCCATGCTGGGGGGCTTTTCCCGAGTTCTGACACTTAGGTCTGTTTCCCACATACCGTCTTGCTCCGCATCAGGTACCAAAAATGATGACACTTTGAAGCCCGTTGTTGAACAAGGAAGGAGGAAGCGGGTTGTTCCTTTTTTTTCCCAATGAAACAGCGTCACAGCTGCTATTGAGCAAGATGAGTGGTGGTGTGTTGATCAGTTGGTGACATGGGAATGGTGGGTTTCCTCTAGATTTTAAGAGTGGATATGCTACAAATATGCCATTAAGAGGTGGAATGTAGGACAGGGAAGATGGAAGCAGGGAATAATCATTTTTCAGTGTATTCCTTAGGGAATTTTACAAATTCAGTCACCCAAAAGACCAGTATTCTCCAGCAGAGTAATAGTGTATTCACATGTTTGTTGCTGCATTGCCTCTCGTAGATACAACACAGGTTTTAAGTGAGTCTGTTTACACTTAACTTGTTCCAGTGCTGCCTTGGTGAGGTGTCCTTCTGGTCTAGAGAACCTGATTATTTACAGCTGATGTTACGTGTTGTGTCTATATAGTTTACACTGGACTTTGCCATATTAGAACTTTGAAACAATTTACGGAGGCGTAGGATGACGTTTGCGGGTGACACCAAACAGTCTGTGTGAACGGACGGTACGTTCCTGCTTGATGTTGTGGCGTTGAGAGTTAAGATGACTTTTTCCTGATGTACCAGCAGAGGGCACCGAGTTCCTCGACTCTTCTTGGGACTTTCAAAAGCCTACATAGCTGTGTTCGAAGAAGGAACATGCAGGTGGCAGTAGTGGTTGTTTCAAGGATTGCTTTGAGAACGCAACTGCGAGTGTTTTAATAGAACATTCCCTCTTACCTGTAAGTCGATTCTCTTTTATCTAGAGGCATTCAGATGTCCATATCCTTACTCGGGTTTCTGCTCACCAATTTAAATCCGTTTCCTGGCAAAGCAGACGCTACGATCAAGAAGTCATTTTCCCAGGATGCGGTTCATCCTCTGTGCCATGGGTATGTTGACTTCTTTGATTTCAGCCCAGCCACATTGTTTCAGGTAGTGGAGAGCTGCATTTGTGTTCTCCCTTGACTTAAAACTATAAAAAAAACCCCACACAGCAAATCCCCCACGCACACTTTAACTCTTTTTTTCTAATTATAAACCGAACATTTACCCAAATTGTTGCTGATGAATACTCTTACACTTTTAATGTCATATATTAATATACTCTAAGTAGCTAGGTAATTCAAGTTACTTGTTCTAGGCAAAGTGGATAAATTGGGTATTTTGCCTGAAGGAAGAACACATGGTGTTGCCCTCCTCTGTACCGATATAGGTCAACAACCTTATTACTGTTCCGTTTCAGTGTGACATTATTTTCCATGTGTTCATAAAGTAATAATGAATGTAGTGAGAAAATAAAAACCATCCCTTAGCATGTTCTATGAAATAGACATTTCTGACTCTATCTAATAAACACATTTTCTTAAAAAACCAAAGATCAAGCACATTATTTGCTAAACTGAGACTATAACAGGATTTATTTAAGTGAAAGTAATTGTGAGAGAAGATAACTGTCTGCAAACATGACTCATACAGTGTTATTTTTCTACTTCATGATATAGGTGTTCACCTGGAAAGAAACTTGATACCATAAATGTGTAAGTTACTACATATGAAACATAGCAAAATATATTTTTATTTTTTATTTACTGAGTCAATTAATTCATGCCTTGCTTATTGGTTTTAATGTTCATGGCAAACTGGCTTACAACAAAATAGATGACTGGGACAATGTTCCTTTATGACCGATTTACTTGCAGCGTGCATGAAGCTTTTGTGGGGAGGTGTGAGTACTGTCTAAATCTGAATAAGTATCTTGACTTCTTTGTTACTGTAGTTGTATTTTACACCAATAGTACTTAGATTCTAAGAGCATCAGAAGAAAAAAAAAAACTAAAAACAGTACAATGAAAACATACTTTTAGATTTAAGTGAAAGTTAATATTGTGGTTGCTTACGGTCAAGTTCTCTAATACATATGTAGGCTTCTATATTTAAAAATGCTGAGTTCTTCCCAAGCGTAGACTTCAGGCAAAAGTGGACTTTGAAAGTAGAATAAAGCAAAGATTGGTCAGGCAGGTACAACAGTTACAACGGCAGCCAGCACAGCTGAAAATCACTGTTAGCATTTCTCTTTGCTCTTCTTGCTGTTCTCTGAATATTCTGCCGATTCCTCCCTCTCTCAGTTGCATAGTGCAGAGCATGCACACTTGTCCACCTTCACCTTGCAAGGAAAGCTACCAAGGAACAGGCCCCTACAGGCAGATTCTAGAGGGGAGGGAAATAACACAAAATGAGTGCAGTTTAGCTGCAGCAAATTGCACATCAGAAATACTGAATTTTCCATTTCAGAGAGCCAGCCAAGTCTTGGTTTAGAACAAAAGAAAATTCACATATGTTAGAGCTGCTGTAGTTTACAATCAGCTACTCTGCCAGAGATTTTTTTTCAACAATTCTGAAGACTGAAGAATTCTCAAAGCAACACAGGATATTCTTTTCTGCTGAGTCCACAGCTGCTTCACCGTGGGCTGCTTCTGGCAGCTTCTCACAGAAGGCACCCCTGTAGCCCCCCCGCTACCAAAATCTTGCCATGCAAACCCAATACACTAGTACAAAAAACAACAGAGGACAAAACCTTGTAGTGTACAAACAGTTACTGCATAACAATAATATATTTGTTAGCAGAAAAAACTAAATATATCAGAAGGGTAATAGAAGAAAAACTGTATTTGGTTTTGATTTAAAAGTCCAATTGGTCGAAGATTTAATGGAATGATAAGGACAATGAGAAAATCAGGTAATTGGAAATGTGTTCTTCTGTGACAGGAACTCACACTTAGGGTTTAAAAGTCCAGTGTTATCATCTCTCAGGGACCTCTTGTACAGAGGCGAACGGAGAATTTCCTACAACAAAACGCAGTTTTATGGCAGTGACAGAGCTGCCGGTCACCCTTTGGTGGCAAGCGGTGAGCAGGCAGCATAGCCTCCGTGTCACACCTCCCCATCCAACGCCAGCCCATCTCACTGCCTTGCAGGAGGCAGCAACTGACACTCTCAGGGAACAGAGCCAAGAGCATTAATTTATTTACAGGCTTGGGAACATCTCATTTTTGCATTGTATATGCCCACAGCAGCCTGAAGTTTCTACACAGGACACTAAGAAAGCCAAAGCTGTAGGAAGGGAGTACACAGCAGGCAGTCTCAGAAAGGGAGGGACAGTCCCAGGTGTCCTCAGAAGTACACTGGGTAGGCTGCCATCCCTACCTCCTGTCTCCTCATCTGCTGTCCTGGTTCACTTACAACATCTCAAGTCTACTCTGACAGTTTCTGAGCCCTAGGCACTAGTGATGCTCATTTTCCCTGTCCCCCTCAGTATTTCCTTCCCCCACTCTTGTCTCCTGCATAGGCAGCACTTGTGTTACAGCCTGCACAGACTCCCCAGCTCCAAATATTTGGACATTTCTCACCTGTAGGTAGCAGTAATTCAGTAGTTGGAGTCATAGCAGTAACCCCATCCCCAGCCAGCCTGGTGTCCTGGATAACACCACCATAGTTCACTTCTTTCCCTCACTCGCAGCCCCATAGCCAGCCCCATTTCTTCCCATGCTTCTTTTCACCAGCGTCACACTTACTAACCTGCTTATTCTGCATCTCCAGGCACCCCTCATTCAGCAGTTCTTCATTCTGGCTCCATCTCAGCCTTGCCATCCAAGGAGTTCAGACTGTCCCGGGAGGAGGAGCAGAGCTGCCACCTTCCAAAGGTAGGCATAGGCCAAGTAGGCAACAGCAGCACTGCTGCACCTCATGGTGCAGGCTCCTGATGGTACTGAAATCCAAAGGAACACATCAGACAAAGGGCTTTTCTGAAAATCTGGTGATGTGGTGTATAAAAAGGAGCAGAGGGGAGGTAACGACATTTTAGATAACTGCAAATACATTTGCTCTTACAGTTTATTGGCTTTGGAGGCAAAAGACTAGCATGACTTTCCATTTCATTTACCCTTCCTCATAGTGTTTTACTTCTATGGTTTTTATTGAGCATTTTCCTCAGAGCCTGGTATAAAAATACCTGCATTCACTTACAAGACTCCAATCTCTCTCAGTAAGCTAAAGTTGGACTCATTAACTTTTTTTTTAAGGTTGCTATGACAGACTCTTCAAAGTTCAAGTTTAATAGCCTGAATATAAATGAGTTCTGAGTAGAAGCCAAAGAAAATATCAGAAACTCATTCTCCCTGACATTTTTGAACTTCAAAGACTGAACAAAATTCCTGGCTGAGATTTTGCAAAACCAACCAAATTTTTTTATCAATTTGGTTTCACTGTTGGGACTCTACTAGATGGTTTGTCAGCCACATTTTTACTTTGGGATATCATCTTTCCCATGCTGCGTAGGACTTAGAAGTCAGTTGGCTAGAATCTTTGCATATCTGTAAAAACTCCTTAGAAAATGAGATAGCTCTGGAAATTCAACAGTACAATTTCTATATTGTTTTTGTGATTGAAAGATCATTTTCCATCAGATAATTGTCTATTTTAAATTATGGTCTACTGATGGTGGCTTGACCATAAGGTGCTTGCTGGTGGCCTGGTCTCTTTCTAGAGACTGGTCACACAATTACAAAAAATAAAATATGCTTTATGATATACTTTTTCTGCTTTGTTTTTTTAATAGATTTTAGAGCCAGAAGAAAATATATTTAAATTGCCTGCCTATGACAGGCTGTAGAGCTTCATCCACCGTATGAATCTGTACAACTACAACTGGTCTAGGATAGCTGGTTTAGGAAGGAGTGGATCTTAGGATCTTTCAGTTAAACTCAGATCCAAGTTTTCTGGAATAAACTTGAAGTAAAAGGGAGATCTGCTTGTGCCAAAACTCAGGAAAGGCCACTTGCTGTGGTCACAAGAATGTGGAACTTATTACATATCTGAAATTTGCAACAAGACATTGCAAATGATCCTTCAGATCAACAATTATTTATTCACATATGACAACAAGGCTGGGGCTGGTAGAGACCACTGTTCACTTTCTCATATTTACCAAAACATAGGGGTTTTTTCCCCATAGCTTGGCTGTAACATCTTACAAAGTAAAATGTTGTTATCTTGTTGCTTTTAACTAAGGGTAGCCTTTCTTAAGTATAAATTGTTTTCCTCTCCTGCTTGCAACAGCAATACAAAAGGCTTACAGAGGATGACCCGGTAAAAACAGATGCGGAGTATTTCCACTGTACAAAGAAGTTCTAAAGTTGTCTGTGTGTTTCCCAGTTGGGTTTTTTTTTTCACTCTTATTGGTGCTAGTTTGTTCCAAATTTCTTCCCTTATTTTCCTCCTTATGGGCGTGGACATAGATTTAGTTTTTATGTCTACATTGACATGACCTCAGCCTGACAGTAGATTATGGGAAGCTGGAAGATTTACTGGCAGAAGAAAGCCTGTTGGAAAAAAAAATGAGTAGTGGTAGTTGGAGAATGAGTCAGTGTCTGGAGTCCAGCTGTGCTGGCTACACAAGCCTGATATAGCTGAGTTACTCAGATTTCTTCAACTATCTGACACTGACTTTTTTTAAAAAGGAATAGGCTTTTGATATGCTGGATAAATTTTTAGCTGAGGACATTTGTATAAAGGCAGCAAATTACCTTTCTTCCTTCCTGTTAATATTGCAGTGGAGTGTAGGAGCCGTGCTCTTGGAGAAGCAATTCATTATACATGCACAAACCAGCATGTCTGAAAGATGTCGTGGCATCAACATCTCAAAATGCATCAATAATAGTTTGATATGCGGTAAGTTCTGTGACTGACATGGCAAAGACACCTTCATTCTGACCTTGGGAGGCAGAGCATTGCTATTTGTTACTGCACGCATTCATAGTGGTAGCTTAAGGTGGTGGCTTTGGTGGCTTAAGAAGCACAGCATCAGCTCATGGTTGGTGTTATTTTAACTAGCAGTTTGAATTATGAGGCTTCCCTCAGCAGCAGCCCAAAAATTGAAGTTCTAACCTTTGAACAGTGCATTATTTTAAGCAAAGAAACATTTAATGCCTTTGAGAATATTGTCAAATACTGAATTTGAAGCAAATTTTATAAAACTAAGCACTCACAAATCCATCATTTTTATCTCTTTTGCCATACAAATAAGAACAGTTACTTCAAAGTTCCTCACAGATTGCAGCAAGAACCTCAAAGTGTTACCATGGATATATCTCACCTGATTTTGTTGTCAAGAGTGAAAGAAAAACAAAGAATAAATTAATTGTGAATAATTTAATTTTTGCATTTTTTTCTATTTTAATAATTCCTGAAAGTTTTAAAAACATAGTTAAGGAATTATCTTTTTTTAAGATTCATGAACAGAAACTTTTAAAAGAAAAGAAATCATACAAACAAGCTATGACTATTTTGGACTAGAGACACTGAGACTAGGATGATAACAGCAGTACTACATCAGCCACAAAGAAGTCAGGTTTTAAATTTATGGAAAAAACAGATCAAGCGCTGGGGGTCTCATTTAACACAGAAAAAGCCTTTGGCAGTCAGCTGGAAGAACATTTTGAGGCAACACTCACATGTTCAGGCTGAAGTTTTGGTGGTGATATGATATCTAAAACAGTTTCAGCTCACTAAAGTGTGACATGGCTGCCCAGTTTCTCATCTCAGTTTTTGGCTTGTTCATTGCAATTCTAATTGTAGGTAAATAGACCAAAAGTTGAGGAGACCAAACCTGACCTAGTGTGTCTAACCTAACCTAGCATATCTTGTATTTGTTACAGGCGTTAATAGCACTATTTATGGAATTTTAGGTCCACTTGAGAATTTAAATAAACTAAAAACAGAAGGGAAAAGATAACAAGCCATGTTGCCCATTCCTTTCCATCCCCATTACTCCACACAGATGTTGCAAAACAATTAATTCCAGCTCTGTGTAGCTATAAAGCTTGCAGTGCCTGCTGTGGCGTAGAGCACTGGATTTCTGAGTAGCTTCATTCCAGCTGGGAATGGAGAGTGACCCACACAGGCTGTGGGAACAGGTACACATACAATTTGGCTTTTTATGGATCACCGTCTTTCTTGCCCCTAGCATGCCTACAACCCCTCTTCTCCATTTCACACACAACCACCTCACTCTCTTCCCCATTCTTGTTTCCTAGGTCCTTCTTTTCTTCCTCGCTGCCAGAAGAAGATAGTACATGTGCTGAGCATAGCCTGGATACTGATTAGCTAAGTAGTGGCTATCAAGAGTGACAGATGATTTCTGCTGTCTTGCCTCTGGTGAACACACTCATTTATCTAGGTCCCTTTCATCTACTTACTTGCCAGTTTTCAGACAACGTGTTGAATGTTTACCATCTTTGAGATGTTTACCTACCTATATTATTTGGTTTCTATCTATATCTTTTGGAATCTACTTTTATTAGGAGTAATCATTCACCATTACCAGCTGCCAACTCAAATAGAGAATTCTTCCATGATTGCATTAGCAACAGTCTGCAAAGGCAGTCAGGAGAGATCAGCTGAGGGGACAGTATTTGCTACTCAAATAGTGAGTCCCTGTCTTCACCAGAAAATGTCATATGCATGCCCAGGTGGCCAAGAAGACCAGTAGCATCCTGGTTTATATCAGGAATAGTGTGGCCAGCAGGAGTAGGGAAGTGATTGTCCCCCTGAACTCAGCACTGGTGAGGCCACACCTCGAATACTGTGTTCAGTTTTGGGCCCCTCACTCCAAGAAGGACATGGAGGTGCTGAAGTGTGTCCAGAGAAGGGCAACAAAGCTTGGTGAGGGGTCTGGAGCACAAGTCTTATGAGGAGCGGCTGAGGGAACTGGGGTTGTTCAGCTCGGAGAAGAGGAGGCTGAGGGGAGACCTTCTTGCCCTCTACAACTGCCTGAAAGGAGGTTATAGTGAGGTGGGTGTTGGTCTCTTCTTCCAAGTAACAGAGAGTTATTGCTCAAGTTGTGCCAGGGGAGGATTATATTGGATATCAGGAAAAATTGTCAAGCATTGGAACAGGCTGCCCAGGGAAGTGGTTGAGCCCCCATCCCTGGAGGTATTTAAAAGATGGGTAGACGAGGTGTTTAGGGACATGGTTTAGTGGTGGAACGGCAGTGTTAGGTTTATGGTTGGACTTGATGATCTTAAAGGTCTTTTCCAACCTAAATTATTCATGTTTCTATGATTCTATGGAATGGGGACAATGCTGGTAGGTGATATGGTGCCCATCTTGCAAACTGATAGCACATTGTTTCTGATGAGGAAAAAACAAGACTTTGTGGAAATATTGCTTTCTCAGTTCTCTTATATCTCTTACAGAAGAAGGTATTTTATTGTACAGTCCTTAAGAATTATGACTACCAGAATTCAGTTCTATAGAATATTCCATATCTCACATGGTTTCTCACATCACAGTTTCATGTTATGATAAATTCAGCAGTGGTGTTAGCATAGGCATTTTCTCTTATCCCTGTGTGATGATGTGCCATGCTGTGCAGCAGATCAAGGAACTGGTTTGACTTTAAGAAAAAAACAGTGTTTTCCAAACACTAGTTTAGTTCATAATCCAAATTACATTGTGAGCACACAAACTGTTGTTCCAGTCCAACTGAGTGAGAGGCACAGCACGGGGTGGGGATAGCAGTATTTTGAGTATTTCCTTCAAATGTTAAGCTCCTACATACACTTACAGGTTTTCAAGGTATGTGGAGCTGCTATGAATAGACAAACACTTTCTATCTCCT